TGTGATGTAATGTGATGTCACAGGGCGGAGCAGTTATCAAGAGAGGTCTGGGATTAATATTCTTTGGAGGAGCACCACCAGCCACTGACATACCAACTGAATCATTGAAGTAATTATATTCTATTTATAGTAACAAGTACTGTAATTATTATGTATAGCATATTGTGTTCTATTTATAGTATCAGTATTTTAGATTTTTTCTAATTAAAGCTCATCAGTATTTTGTCCCCTAAATCACCTAAAGATTTATTTACTTTTTATTAGTTGTTTTACCATATAGCACAAAATTTTGGAGTGCTGTAAATTTTGTGGACTTTGTGTTTTTTGAAGATTTGCGAATATCAAAATTATTATGGTACAAGATGGCAAATGGCATTAATTTGCGGAAATAAAATGCATGAAATAGATTTTTACGAAAATTTACAAAATTTAAAGCCCTTGAAAATTTTGCACTATGCTGTATTAATGTCCTCTGAAGTATAAATTCTCTTACAATAACTGTTATGTTACTAACAGACCACATCCTGTGCTTAAACATATTTAAGCCCCCCATACACTAGGCAACATGTTGCCTAGTGTATGGGGGGCTTTAGAATGGACGCCCCATCATGCTATTGTCTAGTTTTGGCTCTATATAACGTCCAATTGAGAACTGAGTGTCTACTCTTGTAAGGCAATAGGTGTGCTGGAGGCACCAATTTTTGAAAGGACTTTACGGTCCTGTTTGATCCAATTGCATTTGTTATCGAAATTTTATTATAAAGTTTATATTTCCACAAAAAAAATTATGTTTATTTGAATTTTGCAACCATCAGTTTGGTGCTGTATTTGAGTCTTTGACATTTTCTTGTGTTTTGCTTTTTAAAATTAAATTGTGTCTGTCAGTTTGCAGTAGCCAACTGCTCAGTGAAGACAAATTTCAAAGCTTATACTGTACCTTATTAACTGTACCAAGTGCACTTTTACATGTACAAATTTATAATAAATTGTCTCGTCCTTTTATTAAATATCTTTGTTGTTATATTATAGTCTTTTAAGACGTGAGTTCTCCTACTGGTATCCGCTGACTTTAAGAGTCTCAGGAAAGGACTTGATCCCAAACCACTTGACGTATTTTGTGTACAATCATGTGGCAATCTGGCCCACTCCTGCTCGCACTGAGGGACAGACTGAGAGTCTCTTGTCAGGAGAGTACTGTCGCTGGCCCGAGGGTATTAGAGGGAATGGACACCTCTTGTTGAATTCTGAAAAGGTAGAGAGAAAGAGGGAGGGAGGAAGGGAGAGGTATCTGTTTTTTACTCTTAATGACGTGTCCCTATCTTTTGTTAGATGAGTAAGTCCACTGGTAATTTCTTGACATTGAGACAATCTATTGAACGATTCTCAGCTGATGGTAAGTTACATGTACATGTACATGTATATCTACATATAGATATGTATTGACACATTAGTATATGTACATGTACTTTCCCTCTCTTTTAAATCTTGCTTGTACATCCTCTTTTGGTATGTTTATCAATTATATTTACCTCTTTATTTCACACATACACTATACATTACATGTACATTCACCACTGTTCATTCTTTATTTCCTCTCCCTCCCTCCCTCCCTCTCTCTCCCTCTCTCGCT